TTGGCCTTGATTTTCAGACTGTTTATCGATCAAGAATCCTCTCTATTGCCCTTTTACCACGGACCGCTTCGACTATTCTATTGTTTAAAGGACTTGATTCGTTCACCGGCTTCTTTTCCACATTTCTGTGGATTAGTTGATTGCCTTGTTGATTGGCGCTGTGGGGAGCCTTATTACCTCATTAGCTTATTGCCTCAGGAAATCCTCAGTTGGAAAGCTTCAATTACTGTTGTGAGTACATAGGTTTTTTCCTGCCCGACTATTTTATGTTCCCTTCAGGCCCCTTTAGCAAGTGCAAGGCGTGCTCCCGAAAACTACCATTTTATGACAACCACAAATTTTGTCTTTTTTGTCTGGGAGACACACACAAGCTTCAATCTTGCAACCACTGTAAAAAGTTCACCAAAGCGGCTTTGAAGGTGCGACAGCAAAGGCTGAAGATTTACTTGTGAGATAAGACGTTGTCTGCTTCCAGACCATCTGCAATGGAATCCTCATCAAATCCATCAGCTACCGTATTTTTTGCTCCATAAGACACATCTTAAGACGCAGCAAATTTTTAGGAGAAGAAAACAGGGGAAAAAATCTGTTTTCTTCTCCTAAAAATTGGTGAGCCTTATGGAGAGGTCCGTCTTATGGAACACACCCTAGGACCCTTTGGAGGCTCACCCTGCCCCCCCGAGGGTCAGAGGGGGCAAAATCGCCACCTTCTGGAAGATGTTTAAAAGCAATTAAAACCAAACAGGAAAAACAGGGGGAAAGCCAGCATGAATACAAATTATAAATCTCCTTTACAGTCAGCTAGCTTGACTACTAGAGTTTTGCCTTGAAAGAAAAAGGCCTTTGCTTACTGGTGGAAAGACATAAATAATGGTGTCAACCTCCCTTGAAAAGGAGCTCCATAATTGGTGAGCAGCCACTAAGCCAAGCTTCTCTACCACATGTTAGTGACATTACTCCTGTTAGAAATGGGACTGGCTCATACAGTCATGATGGTAAAACTTCCATATCCACCACAATGGCTCAGACATGCCATGGTTCTCTCTATTTTTACACTTATACGTCTTTTATATATTGCTTTCTCAATACATCACTTCACACATTCAACTGCTAAGTAAACAAGGATTTGAGAACAGATCAAGCTGCTGAGAATGCCAGATCTGAAAATAAATTTGGTTGAATTTTCTATGTCCCATAAACAGCATGATATTCTGAGAGAAGTACGATTTCGTCTGAGACTGATGTTACCAAGATTGAACTTTGAATCTATTTTGAAAGCAAAGACCTGTCCCTTCTGCATATGAAATAAGATTACCTCAGAACATAGCATTATAGCTGAATTACTCAGTCTCCCCAGTCATATTTGCTCAAACATTAAGGATTCTTGTTCTTTGAGTGTAACTTCCAGTTAATCTTAAGCGCAGACCTTTTAATTTATTTGTTTTGACAGTTACCTACAGTAGAATAAGCCACTGTTCAGAAGAACCAAGGCTGTAAATTTGCATGGAAATAGGTTCCATTAAACTCAGAAAGGACTTATTTTTTAGCAAGCACGCAGAAAAGACAGTGCTATGAAAGGCAGGAAATATGAAGTAGGAAGCAGAAGCAATGCACAGCTCATGCAACAGAGAATGCTATAATCCATGAGCAACTCATTATCAAACATGGGGGGGTGATTCCTAAAATTTTGCTACAGTTGTAACATTATAGCAATAATTTGCTCATTAATTCAGGTTGGTGTAGATGTAGTGGACTGTGCATAGAAAACACACAGTAATATGGTTATTAAAAATAAATATAAATGAATAAATTCCAAGCAGGTTAGATATCTGCTGGGGTAACTCCAGAAAAACTAGACTGAGGGAGTAAAGGAGTAACAAAAACCAATATGTTGCAGAACAGGGATTTTGCTACACACATATCAGGCAGATATTGTGCCATTAAAAAGTAGGGTTAGCAAGGTTATAGGGGGGCATTGCTCCTTACTACCTGTTGGAGACATGCCTGATCCCTGAATTTAAATTTCTGTCATACAAAAGCTGATAGTTTTCCTGTTGTTGGATTAGAAGGAAAGGCTATGTGTAAAAATCTGTTATATTTTATTCATTCACATTTAAAACAGGATAAATGTGGGAGTTTGACTAACTCACTTATTGGGCTAAATCTGCTGTTAGGAAGCAGATGATGAGGGAGAAATATTAAGATGGCCAGTGAGCAACATGTCAACAGACAAGAGTGTTGATCCATCATCAGTCCCTGCCATTTCCTAGAGGGGATGATGGAAAGAGGACAGAATTTAAAAGGAAGATTCCCTTCCATCAAAATCTGTCCCCTTTCCCTCCTCCTGTCCACCCTAGGAGGGAGAGTCAGCGATTCTGACAGAAAATCCACAGAGGAAACCTGATGGACAGCTGCACCTCTGAACGACTGGCAGCTGATTTTGACTCTTTCCCTAGCTAGCCCTACTCCTTCCCGCCTAGGCAGGCAGGTGGCCGGCCGGCTTCCTTTGTAACCACCAGTAGTTGCCGCGCCCGCGGTCTTGCCAATCGGTGTGTTTGTCTGTGTCTTGTCTTTCCTCCAATTGCCGACATTTCCCCAGGTAAAAGGAAAGGTGTCTCTCTATGTGATGCCCGCGTGTGTAGAGCAGGGACCCAAGCAGGTCTCAGCACTATGCCGATGCAGCAGAAACCCTGAACCACGGAGTGCAGAGGGGTGACGGCATGCGGGCGGGAGAAGCCCCTGGCCACCGTCGAAAGGAAACATCGTCTGGGCCACACACACCCCATGAATGGCAAGGAGAGAGCCTGTGGAACTCCCCTTTCCGCTGCCGCCCCTCCACACAGACACACACACACACACACACCGCGATGTCCCCTCATGGCAAAGGACCTACTAGGCATGCAAGGTGTGTGTGTTCCTTTCCTCCTTTCCAAATTGAGGCTTCTGTGAAGTACTCTCTTTTTAAAAAAGGAAAATAAGCCCCCTTTTCTTTTTCTTTTTATAAAAAAAAACCTGAGCTGAGTAGGACTTGAAAGGGGAACAATGTTTTAAAAAGCAAGCCAACGAACCGGGACTCTATGGGATGCAACCCCCCTCCAAAAGCAGATTGAGGGGCCCATGGGGGTGGGTGGGGGGATTGGACAGAGCCTTGATGTCCCTCAGCAGGTAGACGGGAGGGGAGGGGAGGGAGTCTCTCTGCATGTCTGTCAAGAGACGCTGATCCAGCACTGGTGCTTCCTCTCTTCTGCCCGATGCCCCCCCTCGCCCATGGTTTCTCCCTCGGTCTCCCCGCCGCTGCCAGCCCCCCCGGCACCTCACTCCTCAACAACGTTCTGCCTCCTTGAGTTATTTCAAAGAGTTACAGTGGGGTCTTGACTTGAGAACTTAATCCGTATTGGAAGGCGGTTCTCAAGTCAAAAAGTTCACAAGTCAAATCTACCTTTCCCATAGGAATGCATTGAAAACCATTTGATCCGTATCTGCTCTTTTCCGTCCATAGAAACTAATGGGAAGCTGCTATTCCGCCTTCGACCACTAGAGGGGGATATTTTGTTTCTTTTTTTCTTAGGTCAAGAAAGATTCAGGGAAGGCAGGGAAAATACAGTCCAGGCAGTACAGTACCAGGCAGTCTGAAGACTGTCTCCCAATCCACTCTCTAAACGCTGGGAGGAGTGAGGAAGCAGACAGGCACCCTTTTCACTGGCCAACAGTTAACTGAAAGTTCACATTTTGCACTTTCCCTGCCTCCCACGTGGGTTTTTTTCAGTTCTTAACTCAAATCTAAGTACTTAAGTCAAGTCAATATTTTCCTATGAGAGCGGTTCTTAAGTCAAAATGTTCTTAACTCAAGCCGTTCTTAAGTTAAGACCCCACTGTATTTCAAATTCGTGGCTCCTTCACAAAACCTGGCGGCAGTGGCAGCATCACTCCGCAGAGCAGCACACAGCGGCGCAGGAAAGCTTGTGGCCATAGGTCCGGCGGTGCGGGGAGGGAGGGAGACACTGCTCAGAAGGCGCGTTCTCTCTCTCTTTCTCTCTCTCATTCCCCATCCCTTTCTGCATCACTGGTAAGAAACAACACCATCCTCTCTTCTCTCCCCCTGCCGGCCCGCCACCATGTGACAAAACGCCACCCCACCGTGCCTTGCACCTTTGATAGTCGCCCGCCAGCCCTACTGCTTGCCCCCTTTTGCTCTCACGCAGGCGACAGGCGGTCCCTCCCCTCTAGCGCCGGGCTCTGCGGTTCGCCCTCCGCTCCCTCGCCCATCTTTTCCCACACGGAGGATACGGTGAGACCGCTCAACCTATATAGCCTTCCATTCATCCGTCTATATCTCAAGCAGACATTTTGGTGCCATTGATTTGTTTAAGGCTGAGGTTGGAAAGCGAGCGAGTGCGCTAGCAAGAGCAAGGGGAGAGGGGGAGAGAGTGAGCTCTCTTACCCACCCCCGTCGGGAAGATCGCAATGTTGCCCCCGCTGGCCCCGTGGGGGGCGTCGCAAGGGTCCTGGAAGGCTCACTCAGACCCTTGCGACGCTCCCCCCATGGGGCCAGTGGGGGTGAAATCCCCGCCTTCGGTTCATATTTTTTGTGTCTTATGGAGCAAAAGATACAGCATTCCTCGTTCTGAGGCAAATGTTTCCTCCCCATCTACATCTGCCTCAAAGTCTGCAGTTAAACCAGCTAAAAACCCACTGCAGATGCTTCAAAGAAGCCTTCGTCCACGATGTCAGAAGCTGCAACTGCCAAAGATGGGGCAAAGTCTAAGAAGCCGGCTAGCCAAGCTAAAAAGGATAAAAATAGGGATCACACTACCATCCCTCCTGTGACACCTTCATTGCCTTCTCCTATCTTGGAGGACTCCTCAAGAGATCAAGAGTCCTCTCTGGAAGCAGCTCAATCCTTACCACCAAGACAGCAAGTCGATGTTCAGATTGAGCCTGGGCATTCACGTAGCCCTGACAAGATTGAGGAGGCTCTTCCATCCAGCCCCCATTCTGCCCATCTTAGCCCTGCTTCAGCCGGGCGGGCGTTAGAGGCTCCACGATTGCCTTCTTTCTCCTCGAGGCACGATTCTCCGCCTCGCAAGAAAACTTCCAAGAGAAAACACCTTTCTCCTGATCGACGTCGAGCCTCCCACAGGGACACTTCTCGACGTCGAAAGAAGCATAAACGTGACCGCTCTGCTTACATTCAAGCAGATAAAAGAAGGTCCAGGCGTCAATGTCGATACTTCGACACCGAGTCAAGCTCCTTTTCTTCGATCTCCGAGGACTACCGTAGGCATAGAAAGAGGCGATATTCTTCTTCTTCGTCTTCTTCTTCGATGTTGACCTCGCCTTCCCCACATCGACGTTACAACATTACGATGTCAAGCCCATTAGAGCCACTAAGAAAGTTCCTACCAAACTTGCTTTGACGTCGAGATCGGTGTCGAAGGATGCCCAGCAAACCACTCTCCATTCTCGTTTACAGGGATCTGCACTTCACCATTCCCTGAGACAGAAAGATACTCAGACATTGCCTTCTGACGATGAGGATGTTCTTTGTGAGGTGTCTTCAGATCAGGGAGATGAATTATTTTCTGCTCCTCAACACCAGTCTGCTATAGAAGCTGAATCTTTTGAATCAGACACAGGAGATCCTCATCCCTCCTCGCCCTCGGAGGCCTTCTCATATGTGCAGATGGTGGCTAGAATGGCCAAGACCTTAAAGATGGACACTCAGCTTCCACCTCCTCCGTCTGATGACCTGATTTTTGGCGACATAGATCATGACAGGACACAGCCTCTCAGCCTAAACTTTATTCCTCTGTTAATAAACCTCATAAAGGAATCCTGATCCCAACCATCCACTCCTCAACCTATTCCTAGAAGGACTGAGAATCTATATCGTGTTCATGGTGATGACACCACTTTCTTAGCAAAGCATCCTGCTCCTAATTCGGTCATTGTGCAGGCTAATTCATCAAAAGCCTCAGGACGCCAGCATGTTACCCCTACCGAGAGGGTAGGAAGTTGGATGTTTTAGCCAGAAAGATCTACAATTTTCAAACCTTCCTGCTTTGTGTATGCGACTATCAGGCAGCTATGGGGGCATACCAAAAGCAGCTATGGACCAAGGTGCTTCCAGCTTTGCAAGCAGCCCCTGATGAAATGTGTCAGGACCTCCTCAATACCTACGCTGAAGCAATGACCCTGTCCAAACATCAACGCCTAGCCTCCAGACATGCCACAGATGCCTTGGCTAAGACTTTAATCTCTGCCATAGCACTACACTGCCATGCCTGGCTCTGAGCCTCTGGCATTGTGGAGGATGTTAAGAAACAAGTAGAGGACCAATCCTTTGATGCTAAAGATTTATTTAATGAAAAGACAGATGAGTCATTAAAAAGTTTACACGAAAGTAAAAAGACAGCCAAGGTTTCAGAGGAATGGCAATGGCAATTTCCTCAACAGCAGTTTCAGCAGCGACCTTCACATAACTACAGACAGTTCAGGAATTCTTAGGGAAGGTCCTCTCAAGCTTCATCTGCTGCTCCATCCTACAAAGAACAAATGACACAAAAATGTCAGTCATACCGTCCTTCCAGTAAAAAGTCCAAACAGTACCTTTGACTTTCACATCGCTTTGGCACCACATCCTGCAATGCGTCTTGCACCATTTTACCACAATTGGAAAAAGATCACAAAGGACAATGGAGTTCTGAACATCATTCGATTCGGTTACAGGCTAGAGCTTGTAGGGCTTCCCCCTCTAGGGTACCTGAAGGTGACAACATCCAATCCTATCCTGGAGGAGGAAGTTTTCACTCTGCTCCAAAAGCATGCCATACAACAGGTACCCCTTCGAGACATCTCCAACAGGTTTTACTCCCGATACTTCACAGAACCAAAGAAGGACGGAGGGCTCAGACCCATCCTGGATCTGAGGGCCCTGAACATTTACCTCCATCCACGTCGATTCTGGATGGTCACACTGGAGTCCATCGTCCACCTGTTAAAAAAGGGAGATTGGTTCATTGTTATAGACCTCAAGGACGCATATTTCCACATAACAATACATCAGCACCACAGGAAGTATCTCCGTTTTCTAATCAAGAACAAGATCTTCCAGTATGCTGCCTTACCATTCGGCTTAGCAACGGCTCCACGCACTTTTACAAAGTGCATGGCACCTGTGGTTGCGTTCCTGCGTCTACAAGGCATAAAAGTGTTCCCTTACATAGACAATTGGCTGATAGGGTCACCATCCAGAAAGAAAGCCATCCACGACTCAAGGTTCACTTAGCTCACTCTACAGAGTCTGGGCCTCACAATAAACTTTAAGAAACTCACTCTAAGACCATCTCTAGTCATCAGCTACATAGGAGCAACGCTGAACTCAATAGAAGCAAGACTCTTTCTACCTCCAGAGCGCATTCAAAAACTAAGGGCAGCAGTCCAAAGGCTCAAACTGCACTTCCTTGTGCTGGCTCAACATGCGCAACACCTTCTGGGCCTCATGGCCTCAACAACAACATATCTCCCGCATGCCCGGTTAAAAATGCGCTCCTTGCAAGCATGGTTCCTGCATCACTTTGACCCACTTCGAGAAGATCCACGGAAAAAGCTCCTGGTCGCTCCAGAGCTAGCAAAGCAACTAAACTGGTGGTGCTTCATACCACACCTCATGATGGGTCATCCTTTTCAACCACTGCAACTGTCTGTGCAAGTAACAACGGATGCCAGCCCATAGGTTGGGGAGCACACTGTGAAGCTCACAAGATACATGCCCTATGGTCACGGCGTCAAAAAGGACTTCACATCAATCATCTTGAGATGCTAGCAGTGATCAAGGCATTCAGAGCCTTCCTTCTGCTGATACAGGGTCGTGGTGTTCAAGTTGTGACAGACAACACCATGGCCATGTATTACATCAACAAGCAGGGAGGGACGAAATCAATGTCACTCCTCTACCTGTCTGTGCACCTGTGGGAGTGGTGCTACCAGCGTCACATTTATCCAGTGGCAATCCACATATCCACATCAGACAACCAACTAGCAGACGAACTGAGTCACCAGATAGGACAATCCCACGAGTGGGAGCTAGACGACAGCACATTCCAGATGTTGTGCAGAAGGTGGGGCTGCCCGTCCATAGACATATTCGCTTCTCAGAAGAACAAGAAGTGACACAGATATGCATCTCGAGCAGTCTGTCACGTTCCTCAGCTTTTCTGGTCATGGATTCTGTGCGCTGCGGTCTACAGTGTATGTTCGGTATCTTTGTCTATCAATACTTGAACATATTTTTGTATTTCAAATCCATGGCACAGCCTCCTCCTTTGTTAGTGCTATCCTGTCTCCTCCACTACTGGTCAACAGTCCCCAAATCTGTCCTGTGTATAACCAGTACAGTAGGGATGCTTGCATCTTCTGGATTAGTCTGAAGGATGATAGTGCCAACATGTATAAGAAATTTATGGTATATGATATGAACAGAGGTGACTTGTTTCCAGGTTGCCATTTATATTGTTGGGGCAGCAGATGATGCTGGCAAAGGACTAGTACACAAAATGTTAAACTCTGCAATAAATGAATGCAGTAATGTCTTTTTTTAAAAGGTGGCCTAAAAAGATGTGTGGCATTTCAAAATCATCTAGACAGATAACTCTTTCTGTGAGCTCCAGGGACACCTTTCGGTGTCTTGGCAGTTTCAAACATCTACAGTTTTTGCTGTTCACCCACCCCATTCCTCTGATAGTTAAGGCTGGTGGTTGTAATCCAGGTACAGTAGTTGTACTTTTGGCTTCCTGTAAGCTCTGAACTGCTGCCTGCTGGGTTAGAATAACTTGTATGCTTAGGTAGCTAAGGAGCACTAATGTGGTGTATAACTGCATCAGTGTCCAACCTAACAATATGAGCTGAATTTTCATTCACTGCCAGAGCTGTGTGGAGCAGCCATGGAGGTAGCAGCTGCCAAGTCTGTCTCTTTGGGAATGTGTAAACTGGGCCATGGAAAGTCAATGTTCTGCTCCAGTCAGCCATTCTCTAGACCTCACTGATCCACCAACATTAGTAATCAATAAGCTGCAGGAAATTAATTTTGTAGGTTTTTAAAGAGGAGCTGGAATTGTTTCTGTGCCTGCATTTACAGTGGTGCTCCCATTCAAAAATGCTGCTGTATATGGTGACTTCCTGTGCAGATAGTTAAGTTGAGACACACTTGATTAGAAACAGAAATCCAAAGTCTGTGCTAGTAATGATCAGAAGTAGATACGGTTGTCTGGGTGACAGGCTGGAGTGTCCTGAAAATGTTGTCTGTATCTGACAAACCTTTCTCCTGAGTGTTTTTATAATGCAGAGCTTTCAAAGTGATGATAGTTACATCTTGTGAAAAAATTTCAAGGGTTGGTGCAACTATCCATTTCTGATCCAAATTCAGAGCACTTATTTGAGATGTCCAGTTAGGTGCCACCACCTTCTTGAATGATTCCAGAGCTCTGAGCATTTGCAGGCTGTGAACTGCCAACTGCTATTTTAACACATTGTCTTGTTTATTTGCCCAAAATCTGCCCCTTCACTAGGAACCTGCAAACGATCCCTTAAGACATGACTTTTCAACAGGCTTTTCCAGAGATTACATAATGATAACTCAGTGGCAGTCTCACTGTTTCTTTTTGCTTTGCCATCTTGCCTGTTAAATTAATGATATTTATGCTGATGTTGTTTTGGATATTACTAATTGTATATTGTAATTCTGATTTTGATTTTCGTAATTATGTTTTATTTTAATGTTATTGTTTTCTGCTGTAAACCGCCCAGAGTGCCCTTGCAGCGAGATGGGCAGTATAAAAGTCAAATAAATAAATATAAACTCCCATGTTCAGAGGCCACACTTAGGGGACAAGCACCAGTGAGAAGCTCGCAACCATTGACAGGTCTTCTTTTCTCTGTCCTGAACCTCATGAATTTTCAGTTGTTTATGCCAGAGGTCGCCAACCCCTTGTCCGCGACCCAGCAGCCGTCCACAGCCTATCCAGGACTGGGCCGTGGACACAGATCTCCTACACCCACGAGCGCCATCACACGCATGCGCACGAGCGGCCACCCCACAGCACAGTTGCATGCATGAGCATGAGTGTATTTCGCCCCTGCATTGTTGTGCACATGCATGTGTTCCACCCCTGTGAGCATGTCATGCGCATGCACGTGAACACACCTGAGCGTGATGTGTGCATGCGAGCTCTGCCCTCCCTGCAGGCGCACCATAGCCCCCAAAATGATCCGCAGTTGGGAAAAGGTTGGGGACCACTGGTTTATGCCATCATTTTGAAAGGTGGCTTAGAACAACTGTACAGACCATGATGGAGAACCTCTGCAAGCCATTTTTTTGTCAATGGGAGCTATGTGGATCGCAGGGATAACTAGAATGAAGCGGTAGGGGAGGAAAGAGAATGATCTGTGGCTAGGCAGTTACTGTAGGATATTTGCCCCCCTTTTCATTCAAGCTACTGGTTTATGCCATCATTTTGCAAGGTGGCTTAGACCAACTGTACAGACCATGATGGAGAACCTCTGCAAGCCATTTTTTTGTCAATGGGAGCTATGTGGATCGCAGGGATAACTAGAATGAAGCGGTAGGGGAGGAAAGAGAATGATCTGTGGCTAGGCAGTTACTGTAGGATATTTGCCCCCCTTTTCATTCAAGCAAGGTTTCCATAGTTATGAGAACTACAGAGGTGCAGCATGGGCAACCTATGATGCATAAAGAGATTTTACCATTTGTGTACTTGGCTTAGAAGTTCAAAAAAAGTCCTAATAAAAGAACAACCATCTTAAAACTGTAGCAATTGCAGTTTTGGTTAAAATACAAGTAGTATGCTCTGGGAAATTTGGATACTGAGAACCCTTCTTCCTTTATCCCAATCTCCTATGACATCTTGTGTTCTCAATAAAGTTTTTTCATTTTACCCAATAAACACAGCCTGGCCTCCTCATGTCTCTTCCAAGCAATCATGCAGATGTACATGAGACCAAGATTTTTTTTTTCTTAGTGGGCTTTTAAAAAATCTGACAAGATCATGGATTCTGCACTATGTGAATCTCCATTTTATTTCAAATATGGCCCATGCAGTTTACAATCTCCATAATGTTACTGCCTAGAGGAGAGAATTCAAACTTGAATACATAAAGAGTTCTGAGTTGGGATGGAGTTTTAGACTGAGTCACATGTGGCCTTGGTTGGCAATAAAATTGATTTAGAGCATCTTCGTGCAGTAAAAGTTGATAAATATCTTCGATTTTTCCAAGAAAACCATTCTAGCAGCCATTTTGTGTCACCCAAGACAGGTGATTCTGTCTTTTCAAAGAACTGCAGCTGATCTACTTGATGTCAAATTAAACAAAGCCGAAATGGAACAGTCTCAGCATGTTGTCAGGGCAGAACTAGTGAAGTATCCCAAAGAAGATAGTAATCAACAACACAGGACTGCCAATTGTCAGAATAAAGTCTGCTCAGTGCAGTAGCTCAGAGTGTAGTAAAGGTGGATATTGTAAACTATAACCAGGAGCCCATGAGAAGAACAATTAACTCTCCTAGAAGCTCAATCTGTACAGTTCAGTGAACAGCGAACCCTCTCCCTTTTTTGTGTATTTATCTCCCTTAGGCAGCCATGATCGTTCAGTGAACAGCAAACCCTCTCCCTTTCTTTCTTTCTTTTTTTTTTGTATTTATCTCCCTTAGGCAGCCATGATCTCTTTGCATGGGCACAGGGGTTGGAATGCTGTTTTAACAGTGAACATTACTGTACTGCATCAAGACATTTATATGTTTGCTACCTATTCATACATTAAAACCTAGCCAGCAGGGTTTTTTCCTAGCCAAATCCAAATATTAGGACTATACATTTAGAAAAAATATGCTTTGCATTAATATTATTCTGAATAATATTTCAGTAAAGAAGTGTGACTGTTTAGACACGTCCTTGTGTGTGTGTGTATGCGTGTGCGCGC